CGCAACCCCCCTCTCCCCCCCAACCCCTACACATACCCACCCAGAGGCCTTCCAGTGGTGAAACTCAAGCCCCCCCGGGCTGTGAAATCAAGGCTGAGGGGCCTTGGTTTTTACAAGAATGAGGTTTTTACCCGAGCTTTCAAGAAGCTTACACTGGATAAAACTTCATCGAATTTAAAAGGATGCACACCTTCAGGGAAAAAATGGAAACAATTCTAAGAAATGATACTTCGGAAGACAAACCTAAAGCAGAAGGAACTGCCCTCCAAGAAAGGTTGGTCATTGGACCTGTTGAGGGCCCAAATGACCACCAGAGGGCAGCAAAGACATTGGTCAGAGAAGGCAGGGCCCGCTTGAGGCTCTTCCTCGAGTTATGTTCAAAAGATGGGAGATGGACAGGAAAAATGAGAAAGGGCCTCCTCCATCACCCAAGAATTATCCCCTAGATTCAAGATTCCAGCCATTTTTTTAAAATGGGCTTTGAACTTGTTCTTCAGGTCAGGTAACTAGTGCATAGTTAAGTGTAAAATTTTGGAAAATACAGAAATACATCAATCAAACCATTATAATCCAACCACCCAGAGAAAACTGCCATTGGTTAACATTTTAATGAAGATCTTTCTAGATAGATGTAGAAATCGATAAAGATTTAGATATAGACACATATGTAGATATACACCTACATATTTTTTGGCTTCATGAAAGTGACATCAGTCAGTATACCCATTGGTGGTCCTTTGATGCATAACCATATATAACCTCTTTCAGTCATATATATCATATATACAGTATTCTTTTGCCCAAGTGTCTCTCACCTGCTCCCCTGTGAGCCCCTTGAAGATCAGCCCCCACTGCACCCAGCAAAATGGTGGCTCACTCTGAGGGGCAGGAGCGGGGTCCTCTGAGGTCCACCTCACGCTGCTGGGTCTCTTCACAGCCTGGGTCTAAGAGTCTTGAAATCTTGGAGGAGGGGAGTTGTGGAAACTTCCAGCTAAAAAAGTCTTTTCTCAGTGAGCAGATGCTCAGAGTTCGTTGAATTTCGTCAAAATGAGTCACACTGAAGGTGTGAAGGAATGACAAGGTGTAAGGAGTTACCACTTCCTGGTTACACCCCAGAACATCAGCCCCTGACCCCAGTTAGAGGCACAGAAATGGTGGGACTCCGGGGAAGAAGTTACGGGCATGCCTGCTCTCTCCAGACACAGTCTCCACAGCATGTCTTTTGTCTTCAGGTGTGACCATGTCTTTCCAATGAAAGCCATCAACATCCTTGCTCTGTAATCCCCTTGATCATTGTGAAATGAGCTTCAGACCTAAAAACCCCATTGAATCGCTTCTCAACCTTTTGGCTAAGACCAAGTGTAAAAACCCATTGAAAATGCAGTGGTGCTTGAACTGAGTCTTTGAAAAGACTCTGGTGTTCACCAGGTGAGGGGAGGGGGCATCGCACCACCTGGATTTATAAGCAACACTTGGCTGAGCTCACTCAACTAGGTGGGACACCGCTGATCCCCTAAGGAAATTCTCTTGGGCTTGTGCATTGGAGTGAGACAAATCTGGTTTTGAATAAACTCCATCACTATCTAATTGTGTGTCCTTAGGCAAGTCACACAAACCTGGCCACTTTAGGGTAGGGCCAAGGTAAAAATGTTGGAACCCTGTTGGGGGAAGCATCTGCCATTCGGTCTGGCTGGAGCATAAGATGAGAGGAGACAGTGCAGGAGGGAGCCCAGAGGATGGCCTTGAATGCCACACCAGGGAAGGCCACCAGGAGCCATGGCTGGTCTGTAAGGAAGGGCTAAATCATGCAATAATATATATTATCTGTTTTACCAGTCTCTCAAGAGTTATGGTAAAACCAAACAAAATGCATTTGAGGAAGGACATTGTAAACTAGAAATATATGTCACTGGCATCTCCCTCTCTTCTATTTGGGTGGCTTTTATTGGCTCCGAGGTGCAGCCTGGAGGGTTCTTCACCCCAACTCCCCACCCAACTCATGGCCATGTAACACTTCCAGTGTGCGAGGTTCCCACCCTCTCAGATCCACAGTGGCCACATGCACAGCTCACATGGTGTTTCTTAACCTCTTTCAGTCATGCTCAAGCCTAGCCAAGGTGAGGCAAGCAGGGTGCAGAGGGGGAGGTAAGCCAGAGCATTCTCTTTCCTGGCAGTTAGGGCATCTGGATGCTGAGTAGAGGGACGACGGTCAGAGGCTGCTCTGTTGGCACCGAACATTAAGTCGGAGCACTTTGTGCACACCTCTGCTGCACAGGTATCCCGTTCTGCCTTCTCCACTATACTTGGGAGGCAACGCAACAGACAGGAGAGAAGTCAGGCCTGTGGGTCGCAGACCAGGGTACTGTCCCTGACAAGTACATCACTGCGGCCATGCGATGTAAACCCTCCAGGCCTCAGCTTCCATGCCTGCCAAATGAAAAATATGATTTCCTAATTCTTAGGTTATTGAGAGACTTAAATGAAATAAGCAGCACTCAGTACATCTAAACTGGAAATCTTGGGCCGGCCGAGTGGCGCGATGGTTAAGAACTCGCTTAGGATGCCAGAGGGCCCCGGTTCGGATCCCACATATGAGGGCCAGTGACACTGCCCTCCGCAGCTAAGATGCTGAACAACAGCTCAACCTGGAG